CGATGATGACGAAGATGATGGTCATTATAGTAACAATAATATCAAAGATTTTGAGGGCTGTCTATTACAGAAGCAGAGAACCAATGACAACCGTCGAGGAATATTTAATTTTTTGACAAAAACTTGAAAATTTTAGCGGCCGAAGGGAAGGAATTTCTAACAAAATTTGTTGACTTGGAAGATTTTTCAAAAAAAAAAAAAATCCGTGTGGATTTTCACAAATTTCATGCTTCGACAATTTTAAAATGCTCACGGTGGGCCAACTTCTCCGCTGTTGGACTTCATATCAATGTCAATCTCTCTTTCAAAATCATGTTTGTAACCTCTCTTTTTTTTCAAAATATTTTTCAAAATGACAAATAAAATATATCATTATTATCATTAATTTAGCGATACAATCATGTCTAATGTTTTAACATTTTTTTTTTCTCCGTTTTTGCATTTATTTATTTGCTAAATTTTGAACTACTGCCTTGCATGCAGTAACAGTTTCTGCGTCTGTCAGATACTGATTTTTAAAGAATAATAAAAAAAATATATAATTTTAAAGAATAATAAAAGAATATATAATTTTAAAGAGTAATAAGAAAAATATATAGATAATGTCATCGCTTGTGTAGAATAAATAGAACAAAATGGTATCAAGAAATAAAAAGCATTCATTTTAAGCTTGGAAAAGTTCCTCCAGCGAATAAGACACTGAATTTTTCGGCAACCAAAGTTATGAGAGTTGTCAACAGTTAGTGAAAGCATATTGTTTCAACAACACGGCCTATTTGGGATTTAATGAGGAGTTTTTTAGCGATACAATCTTGTTCTGACATTTTTCAATCTTCGAATTATCACCCATTCGATCAGACAGTCATCGTTTGTTCGTCGCCATCATTTTCATCATCGTCATCATCATCGTCATCCTCATCGTCATCATCATCATCGTCATCATCGTCATCATCGTCATCATCATCACCATCGTCATCATCATCACCATCGTCATCATCATCATCATCGTCATAACCAACTTCGTTTACATTCTTCAAATAACATTTACGCGATGAATTTATTTATTTATTTTATTATTTGTTCATCCATTTATTTATTTCAAATCACTTAAACCTCTCTTGGAATGTTATTTGCCTAACCGTACAAAAAAAAAATCATATTGTGATATGTAGGCACATAACCGTTCTCATAATTTCTATACCCTGTGAGGTGTTTAAGTCTTCATAAATATTGACATTTTACATTGAAAACATCGCAATTCATATTCGTCACGCCATCCTCATCAAATAATTATCGGAATGATCACCACTGGCCTCAACAACAACATGATCGTCTTCTTCTTCATCTTCTTCTTTATCATCTTCATCAACATCTTCATCATCTTTATCATCATCTTCATCATTATCGTCTTATCAATTCATCAGCTCCAGGCAATGGAGATTTTATCACCGAATGATATTGAACATATACATATTCGTGTCTGGTGATGATGGCGATGAAGATGAAGAGGATGGTGACGAAGAAGGAAGAAGATGATGAGGAGGAAGAAGGTGAAGAAGACAAAAAAAAGACGACGATGATAGTAACTAATGTTGATGATTTGTATTGTTAGTGGTAATGGAGATCTCACTGACTGACAATTAAACCTTTCATTTTAATATAAATGATTTTTTTTTCTTGATAAATTTTAAACTGTAAAAACAAGCGAAGGAATGAGATATTGAACGAAATTGACAATTGTAAAGGTTTGAGACGTTAGTTCATATCAAGATGGAATGGAGTCAGGCTTGAAAGTGGTGATCTATAAATTAATAGTAGCCCTTAATTTCTAGAGCTGCCATAAAAAAAATCTTAAAAATGATTTACTCATTTCTTTAATAATATTCACAAATTCCATTTTTTTAATTATGTTTTAATTAGCACCTTTGTTTATTTAAATTTTTAACGGTAATTAACTTATTTTAAT